GCTACACACGACTCCAACTCTATCATCATGTTTGCTGACGACAGTGGTAGGCCTGATTAGCAACTACGATGAGACAGTCTACAGGGAGAAGGTTAGAGCCCTGGTGGAGTGGTGCCAGGAAAATAACCTGTCCCTCAACGTAAAAAAAAAACGAAGGAGCTGATCGTGGACCAAAGGAAACAGAGGGAGCACGCCCCCATCCACATCGACGGGGCCGCAGTGCAGAGGATCAAAAGTTTCAAGTTCTTTGGTGTGCGCATCACTGAGGACCTGAAATGGTCCCACCACACGACACTGTGGTGAAGAAGGCACAACAGCCCCTCTACAACCTCAAGCGGCTGACAAAATTACACATGGCCACTAAGCCCCTCACGAACTGCTACAGATGCACCATTGAGAGAATTCTGTCAGGCTGCTTCACCGCCTGGTACGGCAACTGCACCGCCCTCAAACAAATAGCTCTTCACAGGGTGGTGCGGTCAGCCCAACGCATCACCAGGGGCACGCTGCCTGCCCTCCAGGACATTTACTGCACCCGGTGTCAAAGGAAGGCCAAGAAGATCATCAAGGACCTCAGCCACCGGAGTCATGGTCTGTTCAGTCTGCTACCACCTAGCAGACAGAGACAGTACAGGTGCATCAAAGGTGGGACCGAAAGACTGAGAAACAGCTTCTATTGAACAGCTATCACTAGCCGGCTACCTGCCCGTACTCTGCCCTGCACCTTGAGACTAATGCCCCATGTACAGTAGATAGTCATTGGACACTGGTCACCTCATATTCTGTTTATATACTGTTGTTTACTCACTGTGTATGTATATATACTGTATTCTCCACATAGCTCATCCTAATATAGCTACTACTGTACATACCCTTTTCTTCCATAATATACTGTTTATGCACACCACGTATTTATATTCTGGATTCAGACACACGCTCATGCTAATACGTATATCTACTCTGGATTGTTAATTGGACTTGTTCTGTCATTTCTGGATTTCTTGTTTAGATTTTTTATTATTTGTGTATTTGTATTGTATTTGCGAGACATTCTACTGCACTGTGGGAGCTAGTAACATGAGCATTTCGCTCCACCTGCTATAAAACTTTGATTTTATTTAGAGCAATATTATCCCTGTGTTTTTAATTTACACACCCTAGAGTCCATTTCGTTGAAACTGACAGAGAGAGGTGTAAGGTTAACATCGGGTTTTCTACCGTACACAGGTTTACCTTCCTTTAGTTCTCTTTCATTAAGTAAAGTTATCATTTGTCAGAGTAAGCTAAACTTGTGACTAGTTTGTGAATGTAAAGTGTTCATGGTTGGCCTGCGATCTACTTCTGAGCTGACTAACTGTTAGAGGTCGCTCTCTAGTGGGAAAGAAGAGGAGAAGCTGAAAAATAAGTGGATCAAATACTGAAATGCTAAGATTATTGGAAAACAAACACTTAAAATGTTAATGTTGCTTTCTGACCCTATCATTATTAGGTCCTATTTAAAGAAGCAAACACAAGTCAATGATAGGCTAGATACAGTGCAATCCGAAAGTATTCAGACCCCTTCCCTTTTTCCACATTTTGTTACGTTACAGCCTTATTCTAAAATTGATTAAAATAATGTTTTTTGTCATCAATCTACACACAATAACGCATAATGGAAAAGTGAAAACATATTTTTTTGTTGGCAAATTTATATAAAAACGAATAATAACATTATTTACATAAGTGTTCAGACCCTTTGCTATGAGACTCGAAATTGAGCTCAGGTGCATCCTGTTTCCATTGATCATCCTTGAGATGTTTCTACAACTTGAATGGAGTCCACCTGTGGTAAATTCAATTGATTGGACATGATTTGGAAAGGCACAAACCTCTCTATATAAAGGTCCCACAGTTGACAGTGCATGTCAGAGCAAAAACCAAGCCATGAGGTCGAAGGAATTGTCCGTAGAGCTCCGAGACAGGATTGTGTCGAGGCACAGATCTGGGGAAGGGTACCAGAAAACGTCTGCAGCATTGAAGGTCCCCAAGAACACAGTGGCCTCCATCATTCTTAAATGGAAGAAGTTTGGAACCACCAAGACTCTTCCTAGAGCTGGCTGCCCGGCCAAACTGAGCAATCGGGGGAGAAGGGCCTTGGTCAGGGAGGTGACCAAGAACCCAATGGTCACTCTGACAGAGCTCCAGAGTTCCTCTGTGGAGATGGGAGAACCTTCCAGAAAGACAACCATCTCTGCAGGACAATTTAATAAATGTTAGAATAAGGCTGTAACGTAACAAAATGTGTAAAAAGTAAAGGGGTCTGAATACTTTCCAAATGCACTGTATTCAACTCTATGGTCATGACCATGTTACATTTCCTGCAGTGCACTTCATGTTTGACAGGTGGAGTAAGTGCATATGTTTCTGTTAGACTGTAATCAGTGTCAGCAAAAAGTTTGAAGTTGCATGGATGAGGTAATGGTCAGTACTGCATTGTTATCAAAATATTATTCTTGGTACGATCGCTCAATACTAGGAACTAATGGTTATCTTAAATAAACCTAATGAATTATTCAGTACCCATCCATTCATTGATTTACCTGTGTGTTTTTGTAGACATACCAATCAATGAGTCCTGTTACTAACCACATATCTACAGTGTGTGTGTGTGTGTGTGTGTGTGTGTGTGTGTGTGTGTGTGTGTGTGTGTGTGTGTGTGTGTGTGTGTGTGTGTGTGTGTGTGTGTGTGTGTGTGCGGGCGCGCACCCTATCAGTAACCACATAGATTCAGCAGCTGCCCAAGAGAATCCCTCCCTCCCCTTCTTCCTGTGTGATTGTGTTTGGTTGACAGGCAGTATTTCCTAAAGCTGACAAGGCGAAAGTGACATTACACAATAGGTATTTGTTTAGAAACAATGTATTGATTAGTGTGTTTCTGTGGGTTTTGATTTAGTGGGTTTAACAATTAAGAAAGGTACATAAATGCTTTGTAAATTATTCTGTATGACCTAAAAAAAAATACAAAACAATATTAGCAAAGTTTAAAAGGAAAACGAAAAGAGAATGTGCAGAAGAGGTCGCAAAACACTGAAAGGCTTGTAAGACACCGTTCAAATTGGAATGATTATTTACACAAATAAATTATTTACAAGCCCATCAGAACTTTCTTGACACAGCAGGCTATCACACAATAATTAATCAGTATCTAAAGAATGCAGACAATCTTGTTTATTTTAGCTAGATAAATGTGGCTTAATTTGTTCATTCTCTCGACTTCAGGCTATAGTATGAATCTATCATATCAGGACATGGTTGAACAAACATGAAGCTACTGTATGCTTCACAGAGCAGGAAAATATGTGGTGTTTGTTGTTGGCCGCTCAGTTTCAGGTATTAGCATACATGTAACCTTTCTTCCTAAAATCATGCCATTATTGTGCAATGACCATGTTTGCATTTTTTGCTGGCAATTTCTTTGTCTTTGCTGTATGATCAGCAGCGTGCCGTGCTCTCATCTCCTCCGCGCCCGCACATGAGGAGAGAACTGTTACAAAGTAACCGAAAATGAAAGAATGTTAAGGGAAACTGATTCGATGTTACAATGTATCATTTAACCCATTGTTTCCCAGTAATCTAATCAACTCCTAAAGTTTCATCAAATTCCGCTGAGGGATAAACGGTCACGTGGGCAGGAATCACATGCTGGGCTATTTACTCCGGGCAGGCCCTGAGATTGTTAAAGTTCTCTTTCAACTAATCCTAGGCCGCACTGTGTGATATACCGCCCCCTTTCAGCCAATCACAAGCCCCCCCCCCCCCCCCCCCCCCCCCCCCCGCACCCCACCCCCTCCTACTATACGACATATAGCTGGCTGTATAAAGTGTTGTGTCTAGTAGACACTGGCTACACAACAACACCAGAAATCATCACACTGCTACTGCAAATTGACCGAAAAGTAAGTATTGCTCTAGATTATGTTGTTTGTACAGTGTTAGGTCTTGGTTCTTGGGTTATGGACATTTACCAGGGGCATTTGCTCTTCGATTTGATTGATACAGCAAAACAACATTAGTCTACAGTTTCTGATGTTGTTTTTGTTGCGGGCTGTTACCGAACATTCCCTAGAATATCTCCGTGGATATCAACATTACTTGATGTAATTTGGAATACCGGTAGTGTAGTAGCCTAGTAAAACGTTCCATATAACGTTTTATATTTTTTCCCCTTGAGTTGAGTCCGCTGTGTCGAGCGGAGGGGGGCTTAGAAGGGGTCTTTGTTTTGTTCTCACAAACCACATTTCGGTCCAACCGTGTTATGCGAGTAAAGTACATGTCGGATAAATGTCATGACAAACCTCATGGAAACAACATTTTCCCGGTAAACTTTAAAAATGTCGACAAAACAAAATACGCTAGACAAAGTGGGATCTTTTTGTGGCTGTAAAATTAATTACGCGATGAATGTTGGTGGAAACGCTTTTTTGCACAAATATTGATATAATAACCATAATATCGAAGAAAACTTGGAGTCACGCGATGACGTGTTGTGTGGAACTCACACTACGACTCGTCGGGAAAACATGCAGTTTACTAGGCTACAGATTAAATAAATTATGATGAACTAACTTCACAGGGTGGTGAAATTGCAGTGATGTTTCTGTACCGTGGGTTGAATTGAAACAATAGCTGCTGATTACTTCACAAGTGCTTTATTGGCATAAATATTACCATTGATGGTTACATTTCATTTTCTCTGTTAAACCTACCCTTGACTTCGATAGCAACAGTGAATCATTTTTTAGATCTCTCAATCATTCACATGATAGCACATTGGTAGTAGTCAGTGACATATCAAAGCTAAGCAGGGCTGGGCTAGGTTAAAACCCTTGGATGGGAAACCAAATGGATATCTGTAGATAGATCAACTTAACCTCATTATTTTGTGTGTGTGTATATAACGTTAAAGATCTGTCGTTGTTTCAAAGGTACAAATTCAACATTGTATACAATATATATATATATATATATATAGCTTCTTCACACTGAAATACTAGGCTGACTGAGCTCTTCTCTCCCATCACAGCTGTTCGACCATGATGTCCCTGTACTTGGCAGTGTTGGTGCTCTGTATGAGTGCAGTGTATGCGGCCCCTAGGTTTGACTCTCAGTTGGAGGGCCACTGGCACTTGTGGAAGAACTGGCACAGCAAGAACTACCATGAGGTGGGTGTTTGAGCACAAGTAGGGGAGCACTTCCTAATAGGAACCCCATCAGTAGCGCTCAACCAGTGGAGGCTGGTGGGAGAAGCTAAAGGAGGAAGGGATCATTGTAATGGCTGGAATGGAATTATTGGAACGGTATCAAACATTTGGAAACCACATGTTTGACTCCGTTCCATTACAGCCATTACAATGAGCCTTTCCTCCTATAGCTCCTCCCACCAGCCTCCACTGCTCTCAACAAGGGGCTCAAATTGATCAATTGGTGCATTGGCATACATGTTAGTGGAAATTACACCTAGCGCAGTATATCATGAATTGCATGGATTGTGCCCATAGTTCTTGGACAATATATGATTGTGTATATTTTCTCTGACTGTTTTTCACTCATTGTTGCAGAGAGAGGAGGGCTGGAGGAGGATGGTTTGGGAGAAGAACCTGAAGACTATTGAGATGCACAACCTGGACCACTCTATGGGAAAACACTCCTACCGTCTGGGCATGAACCACTTCGGTGACATGGTAAGAAGAACCACCTTGCTGAGCAGTGCTTGACTTGGACTGAAATGGGTGCCGGTACTGTATATATTTAGGTGCTGGAACTCCGCAGTACTAATATTCTATAAGAGGTGCAGGAACTCAAGCAGTAGAAAGTTTGAGGTGCCGGTATCAGTTACAGTGAGCTCCTGTCCAAGTCAAGCACTGTTGCTGAGACATTTTACTGTGGTGCAGGAGGTACATTTCAGCAGCCCTTTCCCATACTGTGTGTGTGCTGTAGCTGCATTTTTTTTGTTGTCATGTCATACATTTGCTAAGGCACATACAGTATGACATATTTTACAGGCAATTTGACAACAGACACAGGTATCAGCTTTGACAATGAAAGCAGGACTGTATTCAGACTCACAGGTTAGGTTTCTTCAGCTATCAAGCAGGAATGGAATAGTTATCCTGAGAAGGGAATTGAAACGTACTCATAGTCTTTTAAAGATGAACACTAGCTTTATGGTTCAGTGCATAACTTTTAAAACAGTCCTAAGACATTAATAAACCTACATTTCCCATTCTTATGGTAAATTACAAACCACATCTGGCCAGGGAAGATATTACATTTCAACATGTTTTTAGACCAATGAAGAGTTCGGGCAGCTCATGAACGGCTACAAGCAGACGACTGTGAGGAAGTACAAGGGCTCTCTGTTCATGGAACCAAACTACCTGCAGGCCCCTAAAGCTGTGGACTGGAGAGAGAAGGGCTACGTCACTCCCGTCAAGGACCAGGTGAGACCTGACTCATGAGTCATGACTCATATCCACACACTGCTTTGTCACTAAATAAATGCAGACTTTCCAGAGGTTTTACTTCCAGAGAACTGTCTGGCTTGTTTGCATGCTAGTTACCCATGATTGTCATTTACAGTATACAGAGGATAAGGTGGCAAATTGTGTATACAGATGGTTTATTACGTAGTTAATACTAATACATATTTATTACTTACATACACTGGCATAATATGCACATGTCAGTGAGTTCTCTGACATGAAATACTAACAAGATGTTTAACCATCTTTCCCCCTCAGGGCTCATGTGGGTCTTGCTGGTCGTTTAGTTCCACCGGTGCCTTAGAGGGCCAGCATTTCAGGAAGACTGGCATGCTGGTGTCTCTGAGTGAACAGAACCTGGTGGATTGCTCCAGACCCCAGGGCAACGAGGGCTGTAATGGAGGTCTCATGGACCAGGCGTTCCAGTATGTAAAGGACAACACCGGCCTGGACACAGAGAAGTCTTACCCCTATGTGGCCAAGGTAAGGCCCTGTGTTCTATTAGTCTGAATTCAAATATAATAGCATATAAAGATTCATGTATTCAAAGTAAGGCCCTGTTCCTTTAGCCTGGTCCCAGATTGTACAGTTTTAGCTGTATAACCAACTCCTATGGTTGTAATTTTGGAATGACAATGACTAACAACTTCAACGTTGAAAAATAAATGAATGTTTCTACTCTTCATTGCAGTGGGATGTATGTCTCCAAGAATGACTGAATTGCTTGAATAATTGGAATGTTATTTTTTTACTAATCATGGCCATTGGCCTTCTCTGGTTACTCAGGATGATGATCTTTGCCACTACCAACCAGAGTTCAGTGCTGCCAATGACACTGGCTTTGTGGACATCCCCAGTGGCAAGGAGCATGCTCTGATGAAGGCTGTGGCGACTGTCGGCCCTGTCTCTGTCGCCATCGATGCCAGCCACGAATCCTTCCAGTTCTACCAGTCTGGTGAGTAGCAATTATGTACTTCAATTATGTAACTTTTAACTTTATTTGCAAGGATTGGAACCTACTATTTTTGAGTAGCAGTGAGCTGAACTGGTCTACTGTCCTGTTCACCATGTAGCTAATATTTACAAATGGTGTTGTCTTTCAAGTAAATCGTTACCAATATTTCTATGTTTTGCCCACTAGTAGCTAGCTAATAAATAGCTACAATCTAACTAGTTACTAGCTAAGGAACCAACTACCTTTTAGCTTTGAGATCAGGTGGTTTTACATACTCTGAGGTAAACCCAGCATCTTAGCCCACTAATTTAACTGTGTCCTCTCTCTATAGGGATCTACTATGAGAAGGAGTGCAGCAGTGAGCAGCTGGACCATGGAGTTCTGGTGGTGGGATACGGTTTCGAAGGAGAGGATGTGGATGGCATGAAATTCTGGATCGTCAAGAACAGGTACAGTACAGAGTATCTTCCTAGGATTTGTTTTTGTTTGTTACATGTCACCACCACGGGAATGGTTAATTTCCTCATCAGGGAATATGCCTCTCTACAATACCATTGCCTTTATTTGAATACAGTGTTGGTGTTGTCCTGATAATATGGTCTAAGTCATTAATTTCTCTAAAGCAGCTGTACATCTCATTGTATAATTTCCTAATAACTTGGACTGCGGGACTAACCTATTTGTTTTTTCCTCAGCTGGAGCGAGAAGTGGGGAGACAAAGGCTACATCTACATTGCCAAAGACAGGAAGAACCACTGTGGCATTGCCACGGCAGCCAGCTACCCACTGGTCTAGTGTTCTAGAACCTGGAGGTTCTAGAACACTAGACCCAGAGTTTTCGTTTTAGAAATGTTTGACAAAACATTCTGAAAAAAGGGCCATGATGACTACAGTGCTGCCTTAACTAAGTCTGTGAAATGTGCAAGAGAAACCTGCTTCATGGGTTTTAAAGAAACACTGTTTTAGGGAAATTATGAAATTCTACCTACTATTTTGTTTTATACTTGATTTTATGTGTGTCGTTGCGATTGTATGTGTATATAGTTCTTTTCGAGTTGAGCGTTCAGTTTATTTGAAGCTTTACTTGATGAGACCAACTAGACTACATTCTCTAGCACATAACGAGTCAGTTTGTGCTTACTGTTTATGTGTTTACAACACTGTTATAGACACAGGATATATATATCCCTGAGGTACAGTTGATATATACAGTCTATTTTTAACTGGAGACTTCTGTGTGGAGCTGAGAGCAACAACCGCTGAGTGATAAGACATTGAAGAAGACTAGAGCTCTGAAATGACTGAGTTAGTTTCTGAAAGAGAGGGCCAACACGAGGAAGAGAGAAAGGTACAGCTGGGTTTGTTTCCTCTGTACTGCTTTTTATTTGCAGCTAGTGTTTGAGTGAAGGCATTGTATGGTAATGCCTGGACTAGAGCCTAGTGGTGTAGACTGATATGCCTCAGGGTGGTGAGGGGAGTTGTATAACATTCTAACACACATGTAGATGAGTGAAAATGGTGTTTAATAATAATAAACTACATTCATCAATCTGACTCCGTTATCATGTGAATAAAAGCTATAGGTCATAAATGTATACCGGTGAATCTAGCCAGCTTGCGAGTCTACGCATTAAGATGCTATAATTACATTTGTTCTAAGATAACTGATTATTAAGAGGCTTATGAGGAACTTATGTGCTGTCTATAGCACCCATAGTCCAAGATCTTAGACCGAGATGTAAAGAACCTATGCATAATCTAATGCTATGTGTATAGTGTACATAACATTTACCATTAGACTTCTACATCAAATAATATTCTGAAATATGAGCACTACCGTAGTCTCCATTTAAAAGTAATCCAATGTATTGCAGTTAAGCAATAAGAATACTATAATCAAATGGTACATAACAGAAGACTTCACAGTAGTCTTAACAGCATAGAAAATACACCACTATGACATACAAACGTACATCAGAAGATTGGTTCACCAATGACTCCACTAATTTATGAACTTATTTTCAATCAAAGAATTACTCTATAAAACAAGGAATGCATTTACTCAATTTAACTAATAGGATTTATTACTCACTAAATAATTGACACTCAAACAATTACAGTGTAGGCTACATGAAATACATGAAACATTTACATAATAATACAGAGTAAATGACTACATCCAATAGGCAAAGACTTACAGTGCCTTCAGAATGTATTCACACTCCTTGATTTACCCCCAAATTGTGTTGTGTTACAGCCTGAATTTAAAATAGATTAAATTGAGATTTTGTGTCACTAACTTACACACAATACCCATTATGTCAATACCCCTTTATTATGGCAAGCTTAAATGAGTTTAGGTGTAAAAATTTGCTTAACAAGTCACATAAGTTGCATGGACTCACTATGTGTGCAATAATAGTGTTTACAATTTTTGAATGACTACCTCATCTCTGTACCCCACACATACAATTATCTATTTAGGTCCCTCAGTCGAGCAGTGAATTTCAAACACAGATTCACTACATAGACCAGGGAGGTTTTCCGATGCCTCGCAAAGAAGGGCACCTATTTATTGGTAGATTGGTAGAAAAATAGAAAAAGCAGACATTGAATATCCCTTTGAGCGTGGTGAAGTTATTAATTACACTTTGGATGGTGTATCAATACACCCAGTCACTACAAAGACACAGGCGTCCTTCCTAAATCAGTTGCCGGAGAGGAAGGAAACCGCTCAGGGATTTCACCATGAGGCCAATGGTGACTTTAAAATAGTTACAGAGTTTAATGGCTATGATAGGAGAAAACTGAGGATGGATAAACAACATTGTATTTACTCCACAATACTAACCTAATTGACAGAGTGAAAAGAAGGAAGCCTGCACAGAATAAAAATATTCCAAAACATGCATCCTGTTTACAATAAGGCACTTAAGTAAAACTGCAAAAAATGTGGAAAATAAATTAACTCTATGTCCTGAATGCAAAGCATTATGTTTGGGGTAAATCCAACACAACACATCACTGAGTACCACTCTTCATATTTTCAAACATGGTGGTGGCTGCATCATGCTATGGGTATGATTGTCATCGGCAAGGACTAGGGAGTTTTTATTTATTAACTAAAATAAATTAAATAGAGCTAAGCACAGGTAAATCCTAGAGGAAAACATGGTTCAGTCTGCTTTCCAACAGACACTGGGAGACAAATTCACCTTTCAGCAGGACAATAACCTAGAAGACAAGTGTCACGCCCTGGCTCTGGGGACACTTGTATGTTGAGCCAGGGTGTGCATTTCATTTGTTCATCGAGTATGTGTATTTCTATGTTGGCCTGAGTGGCTCCCAATCAGAGGCAACGAGTGTCAGCTGTCGTTGGTTGTCTCTGATTGGGAGCCATATTTAAACTGTCTGTTTCCCGTTTGTGGGATCTTGTTTCAAGTCTGTTTATGTTAGACCGTGAACTGTCACGTATCGTTTGTTGTTTTGATCGTGTCTCTAATTAAAGAGTATGTTTGCCTGCAACGCTGCGCCTTGGTCCTCCTCTGTTCTAGACGATCGTGACAGAAGATCCCACCTCGACTGGATCAAGCAGCGTGACGAGGAGAGAGGATGGACCTGGGAGGAGATGAGTGAGAGTCTGGCAAGAGGGATGGAGGCCATGAGCACGGGGGAGAGACAAGCCCATAAATTTTTTAGGGGGGGCTAACGCCGTGGACGACGGGGCAGCAGGAGGCCGCCAGGTTACGGGAGTCACTGGTCACCAGGGGGAAGGAGGATGTAGAGGCACGGCGAGAGCTACTGGCGTGTGTTGCCAGTCCGGTCCGGCCTGTTCCTGATCCCCACGTAGGGCCAGTGGTGTGTGTTCCCAGTACGGTCCGGCCTGTTCCTGCCACTCGCACCAAGTCAGTGGTGCGCTTCGTCAGCCCGGTCCGGCCCGCTCCTGCTCCCCGCACCAAGTCAGTGGTGCGCGTCGTCAGCCCGGTCCGGCCCATTCCTGCTCCCCGCACCAAGTCAGTGGTGCGTTTCGTCAGCCCAGCTCGGCCCGTTCCTGCTCCCCGCACCAAGTCAGTGGTGCGCTTCGTCAGCCCGGTCCGGCCCGCTCCTGCTCCCCGCACCAAGTCAGTGGTGCGTTTCGTCAGCCCGGCGCGGCCCGTTCCTGCTCCCCGCACCAAGTCAGTGGTGCGCTTCGTCAGCCCAGCTCGGCCCGCTCCTGCTCCCCGCACCAAGTCAGTGGTGCGTTTCGTCAGCCCGGCGCGGCTCGCTCCTGCTCCCCACACCAAGCCAGTGGTGTGCGTCGTCAGTCCGGCACGGCCCGTGCCTGTTCCACCGGTGGCTGGTCCGGCACCGGTCAGATGCTTCACGCCGGAGCTAGAGCGGTCCGCTCCACCAGTGTGCAGTCCAGCTCCGGCCAGCGGGGCCAGACCGGACCAGGGGTACTTTGGGGGGTTGGAGAGGGAGCGGGGATCAGGCCCGGAGCCGGATCCGCCGCCTAAGCGGAGTGCCCACCCGGTCCCTCCCCTGTGGTGTTTGGTGGGCGCGGTCGGAGTCCGCGCCTTTAGGGGGGGGGGTACTGTCACGCCCTGGCTCTGGGGACACTTGTATGTTGAGCCAGGGTGTGCATTTCATTTGTTTATCGAGTATGTGTATTTCTATGTTGGCCTGAGTGGCTCCCAATCAGAGGCAACGAGTGTCAGCTGTCGTTGGTTGTCTCTGATTGGGAGCCATATTTAAACTGTCTGTTTCCCGTTTGTGGGATCTTGTTTCAAGTCTGTACAGTGTTGATACACTGCCGATTTTGCAGGTTTTCCTACTTACAAAGCATGTAGAGGTCTGTAATTTTTATCATAGGTACACTTCAACTGTGAGAGACGGAATCTAAAACAAAAATCCAGAAAATCACATTGTATGATTTTTAAGTAATTAATTTGCATTTTATTGCATGACATAAGTATTTGATACATCAGAAAAGCAGAACTTAATATTTGGTACAGAAACCTTTATTTGCAATTACAGAGATCATACGTTTCCCGTAGGTCTTGACCAGGTTTGCACACACTGCAGCAGGGATTTTGGGCCACTCCTCCATACAGACCTCCAGATCCTTCAGGCTCCCTCCAAATATTTTCTATTGGGTTCAGGTCTGGAGACTGGCTAGGCCACTCCAGGACCTTGAGATGCTTCTTACGGAGCCACTCCTTAGTTGCCCTGGCTGTGTGTTTTGGGTCGTTGTCATGCTGGAAGACCCAGCCATGACCCATCTTCAATGCTCTTACTGAGGGAAGGAGGTTGTTGGTCAAGATCTCGCGATACATGGCCCCATCCATCCTCCCCTCAATACGGTGCAGTCGTCCTGTCCCCTTTTCAGAAAAGCATACCCAAATAATTATGTTTCCACCTCAATGCTTCACGGTTGGGATGGTGTTCTTGGGGTTGTACTCATCCTTCTTCTTCCTCCAAACACGGCAAGTGGAGTTTAGACCGAAAAGCTCTATTTTTGTCTCATCAGACCACATGACCTTCTCCCATTCCTCCTCTGGATCATCCAGATGGTCATTGGCAAACTTCAGACGGGCCTGGACATGCGCTGGCTTGAGCAGGGGGACCTTGCATGCGCTGCAGGATTTTAATCCATGACGGCGTAGTGTGTTACTAATGGTTTTCTTTGAGACTGTGATCCCAGTTCTCTTCAGCTCATTGACCAGGTCCTGCCGTGTAGTTCTGGGCTGATCCCTCACCTTCCTCATGAACATTGATGACCCACGAGGTGAGATCTTGCATGGAGCCCCAGACAG